AAAAAGAAAGTGAAAAATGTTATTTTAAAAAATGGAAGATATTCATAAATTATTCAAGTTTAACCCGATGACATTGATATTATGCAAATACAAAAGGCCGCAGCTTATCTTTTTTGGTTCATTTTGTAATTTAATCGTTTTAAGATAACAACTTTAGAATAACACTTATTGATCAAAATAACATTGTCATGTTAGCTACTTTAAATTACACTACTATAAATTTTTAATAGCCATGGATTCTACTACTACATTTTTAATGTTATCTGTTACTTCCTTTAATATTTCTGCATTCAGGTCATTTTTTGTTGAAAGATTTATTGTCTTTTTTTCTTTTGAAGGTTGAACAACTAACCACAGAATTGTCGGTTGAACGTTCTACAACGCAAAAACTGGAAACCGAAAAGCAGGCAATGGAGCGTGCAAATCGTGAACTGAAAAATAAAGTATCGGAATTGGAAACATCGGCACAAACTCGTGCCAGGGCTCAAATAGCTGCACTTGAAGCAAAGATACAATATTTGGAAGAGCAGTATAATGCGGAAAGCCAAGAACGTGCAAATGCTACTCGACAAGTTAGTTTATCATTCGTAATATTTGTTTGTTTAGTTTATTTATTTATTTCGATTAATGAATATGATGGTTTTGAAAATTTTTATGTAAATGTTTTATGTAGAGAAGTTGCTACATCAACAGAAAATAACATGTATGTGAGCTTACCATGAAATTGTTAGTGATGGCTAACATTACGGGTATCTTTTCGGAAGCCTGTCATGCAAATTACTTTCATGATCAAATACTACTGATTATACTCAGTTCTGTTTACAGTTCCATGGATTATATAAATATTAAAATTTTTTCATTTAAGACGAGGAAAATGAATTTGTTCAAATTAAAGATTTGTTTTAGTATCGACGTATTGAGAAGCGTTTGGCTGATGCGATATTACAACTAGAGGATGAACGTCGAAATACGGAACAAAATAAGGAGCAGGTTCATGATAACAGCTTTTTTAACGTCGATTGTGTATGATCCTTTTACTTTCAGTTAGAAATTATTTTCTTTGTTGCAGGCAGAAAGGGAAAAAACTCGAGTACGGCAAATTCGGCGACGGCTTGATGAAATGGAGGAAGAATTAATACGAGAACAAACAAAAGCACGGAATTTGCAACGAATGATTGATGATTTAAATGCTGCAAATGATACGTTAGCTCGTGATAACACCAGTCTACGTGGGCAACGACGTCCTGTTCGTGATACATTACTGGGTGGTAGACGTGTTCACATACGCAATAGCAGTCCACATGATGATTTGGATAGCATAGGAACTGAAGGTAATCGTCATAAATTTTCTCTTAGTAGGAAGTTAATTCTAACTTAATTTTGTTTGATGCTCTTTGATCAGAAAATTACTTGCTTGTTTCTTACCGCTGTTCAGTTTTTTATCCTGAATATCCTGTTCTGATTTTCCTCGGTGACAACCATCCTATTTTTTTCTTTCTCGTGAGTTTCAGAAATTTTGTCCAAATTATTTGCTTGGCATTTTGCCGACAGTTATGCTGTAACACAAAGAATCAGTGTAGTGAAGAATGAAGAAATTATAATATATTTCATATTAAATCTGCTCATTAATAAGAATACGTACAGTAAGAATATGAAAAGCAGTACATAAATCTGTTGAAACTGACGATTTAAGATTATTTCCCCTTGTAGTGAATTTAAAAATTATAGGAAAATTATTAAGTTTCAGGTTCTGACATGACGGACGATGCAAAACGCGGCTTACCGTTAAAGGAGTGAAATTTTGAAATGTTAAATGTGATTTTGTGAAAGGAAAAGCAGGATTGGAATGTTTTATAATACATGACATGCCTTATAAAAAAAATGTGTTGAATTCCCAAAATGTTACCAATGATGCCTTTTTTTTTTTTTTTTTTTTTTTTTTTTTTTTCATTTTACTTTGCAATGGATTGTTCTGATTCATACTGCGACAGTTTCCTTCCTTCTTCTAGAGCAGAATTCGTTGTTTGATTTTCAAAGTGGTATTTATTATTTGCCATTTGGTTATTCACTTAAAATTAGAATAACAATATCTGATAAAAAAGCAGGTATTATAACTGTTACTATATTATTATTATTATTATTATTATTATAATTATTATAATTATTATTATTGTTATTATCATTATTATTATTAATTATTATTATACTATTATTATTGTTATTATTACTTTGAATAGTGAGTTGAAAAGTTGTTCATAGTGTTTATTACTGGTATATGTTTTTGTTCGTCGTCACTGTTCTCTTATGTTTACTGTTTAGGAAATGATGACAGCAGATATAGTTACATTTGTTACTGCTAATATTAGTCTTCTGCTATTGCTATTAATACAAAAATAGCAATTCTATGCTACTAACATAACACTACTACTAATATAATTTTTTGACTATCTTTTGCTATCTGTCATTTTCCTACCTTGGATTACTTTTTCAGTTTTTTCTTTTTCTTTTTTTTTTTTCTTTTTTTGAGGAGGGTCATTTATTGGTTATTATTGATATGTGATGCTGTGCAGTGGTTTCTTCTTTTCATCAAATTTTGTTTCATGAAAACTACAAATATACACCTACACACACACACACACACACACACACACCACATACATTCATACACATGCATTGTACATCATAATGTTTCCGAAAATGCCCTTGACTATATAACCGGTGCCTCCGTTATGTATTGTGCACCTTTCCAGCAATCTTGAATTCCATACATTCCTGAACTAACTCATTTTCTTACTGCTTTATATGTTTACAATGAATATTTGAAGTTGTTTATTCAAAGCATTTGTTTGTTAGTAAAAAGAAAAAAAAAAAAATTAGTCATGCCTTTTTATTTTTTGTTTTTGCATTTTATGAAAATGAAATCTAATCGATGCATTAGTCTATCCATTAATGATTTCCGAAAAGAGATGAATTGAATACGAAGAGAAGAGTCGGCACAATTATCACTTTTGGGAATGCTTTCCAAAATTTACAAAAAAAAAATCGTGAAGTTCAGATGAAAAGGATGTTTTATTTCTGTATGCTATTCATTATGTCAGTGATAGTAATTGAATAATTTGTCAGGTTCCTCAAAAAAGAAAAAAAAAAAGGGAAAGCTGAAGTGATATAAAATTGAAGCAGTGAAAGAATATATAATTAATTAAGCCTACAGGAAAAGATAGCAATTGAAATAGTGGATGGTGAAAATTTTATTTATCCTGCTGGTTAAACTTGGCTGGGATGAAATAAAATAATCAGAAAATTTATTTTACAATGATTTGTTCTATTTTTCTATTTTCATTTAAATGATTAAATTATATACTATTTAATATAATGATTTTAATTTAAATTACTTAATTCAATTTCCTAATGATACTTTATAAGCTAGAATCTGTAGAGAAAAAAAAGCTTCAAATATTTTCAGTGATATTATTTGCTATTTTAATGAAAATAATTTTTTACAACTGATTAATTGTGGTAGTTTGTCATTTGATTATAATTAAAATTTTAATTTTCAATCAATTAAGTCTAGTTTTTTTTTTTTTTTATTTTCTATTTTAATAAATTATTATCCTCTTATTTCTGCAACAATAAAAATTATATTATTAATGTTACGTTACTTAATCGTATTTCCTATGTAACAATAAATTATATCATCAATGAGATCAAATCTTTTCTGTTTCATTTTATCAAACTTTTAAACTAAAAATAAAAAAAAAGAAAAAAAAATTTAGTAAAAATAATGTAAATAATAACATCAAATAGTGAAAAAGTTTGATGAATATCAATATGTATAATTTATAAGATTACTGTATCAATTTTGCTAATCTTATATTACTTATTCATTATCTATTTGTCATTTTTATTTCACTAAAACCTTTTTTTTTCTTAAAATTTTCTTCATGCTTTTTTTTTTTAATGCTAATTATATTGATTAAATGACTCAAAAAAAAAATTTCATGCAAAATATATACACATTCAGCGTGTTTCTTTTTTTCCCCTAGCAATAATTTTAACAGCAAATAAAACTTTATTTCTTAGAAAATAATCGATGATTTTATTTTCAAAAATATTTGTAATTATTTCAATTAAATTCAAAAATTTTTCCATTTTATTTCATGAATGTAAAGGTTTTAGTCTTTCACTTTTGTCTCATAAAGTTTCTTTATTATGGAAAGGAAATGGTATAACATTCAATTTCTGTTCCATTTTTTTTTTCTTTTTCATATTTGAATAAAAAGCCAAGAAAATTTCATTTTTCCTAAAATTCATGATAATTCAGAAAAATTTCTCTTTCATTCCATAAAATTTTGGTATTCAAACTTGCTTTTCCTTCATTTTTGGTTTTTTTTTTTTTTATTGCATATATTTTCTACATCATAAATCATTTTAAAATTCAATTTAGCAAATATTTAAGCATTTCTAAACATTTTTTTTCATATAATTAATACTTATGATTAAAGGATTTTATATTTTGTTCGGAAAAGAAAGTATTACAAAGAGCAAAGGATAAATAAATTGAAAAACTTCGTATGTAAATGAATACTGTCATATAATATAGGAAATCAAATTCATAAAGAAACAATCTTATGACGCAAACAATAAAATAAAGTTGCAAATTAAATTGAAACAATTGTGAAGTTATTAAAAATTGGTCAAATTTTTATGCATATATTAAATATTAATTATATTCACATTTATAGAAAAACTTTCCTCTTTTTTTTTTTTGATTTATTGCAGAAATTATTTAACAATATATTTCATCTTTTTTTTTTCTAAAAAAAAAAAAAAAATTAATACGCATATTCATATGTTATTATTATTTCTAAAAGAATGAAGTCATAATTATTGCATTATTTATCTTACTGCTGTATGAATGCTATTATTGTTTTATTTTTAAAGGAAAGATTAGTATCAAATTATAACAAGTTAAGTCCTACCTGATTAAATTGCAAGCAATAATGGATTATTCATTAAGATGGATTCTTTTCATACTTCTTCCAGAAGTAACACAATGTTATATCAAGGTTTTACCAGGTAAAATAATAGTTATGATCAATCAAATAAGCATAACTAACTGATATTATTCATTTATATGCATCAAACAAATTATTCTTTTAAATGATCAATTTAAAAAATTTAAGTTATCAAAAAAAAATTGCATTCTGGATTTTTGCTAACAGTTATGAAAATAAAGGAAGGCAAATCAGTATGCCAATTTTTTTTTTTTTTGAAAATTTTTAAAATGAAATTAGTTTTTAAATTAAAATATATCAGTTTTTGAGTAAAATACGAAATTGTATCCTCATTCCCGAAAGATACTAATGAAATATTACAGGCCTTACATTTGAACAATTAAACGGCAAAGGAAAGATGTGGGTTGGTCCACCAATGATTCCGCCATTTTGCTATCCACCAGGAGCACCAGGAGCACCAGCAGCACCGGCAGCACCAGCACCGGCACCAGCAGCACCAGCACCAGCTGTACCAGCAGCACCAGCACCAGCAGCACCAGTGGCGCCAGCGGCACCAGCGGCACCAGCGGCACCAGCAGCACCAATGCAAACAAAATCTCTTTGGTGGTGTCCACCTATGTATCAAAAACCACCCAGCCAATATCCTATGGTGCCACAACCTCCTCAATATCCTCAACCTCCACAATACCCTCAGCCTCCACAATATCCTCAGCCTCCACAATATCCTCAAGCTCCACAATATCCTCAAGCTCCACAATATCCTCAAGTTCCACAATACCCTCAACCTCCACAATACCAACCTCCGCAATACCAACCTCCGCAATATCAACCTCCACAATATCCCAAAGCTCCAAAATATCCGCAGTATCCAACTGCTGGTGCAGGAATGGTAGGATCATCTTATGGAATATATGAAGAAGATTCTGATCAAAGTTTAACTGATTTTGAGCAATATCAAATGAGTTTCACTTAAAAGCAGAAATAGACTTCTTACGTTACTGTATCCAGATATTTTATGCATATTTCTATGTCTTGTATGATAAATCTGAATAATTATATGTATTTCTGATGATTTATAAATGGATTATTTGTCTTCCTTCATGTTGATGGTTAAAAGAATTAATTAATAGTTTTCAAAACAATCAAGCTTATATTTTATCAAATAGGTACAATTGATGATAAACTTCATTCATACACTTAATCAACTTTTTTTCTTTTAATTATTTGTTATTGTAAGTTTGAAGATTTCCATATAATAAAATAATTTGAAATACATTACTAATTATCATAACAGAAAAAAAAAGTAGTATCTATAATAATGGATAACAGATAAGATTGTTAGTGATATGAAAAACAAAAATTCATGATGATTGAACAAATCTGTATCACCAGTTTTGTTGGTCAAACAAATCTGAGAGAAATAATATTCATAAATAAATTAAAAAAATGAAAGTGATCCGACCAATTCCATCTGATCACTTTTTGTTTCTCACTAAATAATATTCTTTTAAGTGAATTTTTTGCACTCAAACATTAAAATTTCCATAATTAGAGTAAAAGTTAATTATTGCTCAAAAAACTTCAGTCAGAGTTTGCTCCTTATTCATCAAATTTTAATAACTTTATAATTAAACACTGTAATTCGCTAAAAATTATATAAATTTTTATCAAAAACGAAGCAAAAAAGTAGGAAAAATATAAAGAAACAAATTAAAATATTAATATAATGATGAAAAATTAGAAACAAAACTTTGATATTGAATAATTTTAATCGCTTTATTAATAATCCAATTTTCTTTTTTTTTTTTTTTTTTTTGTTTGGATCTTATGACAGCAGCATTAATTAATTAATGGATAAATTAAGAGAAATAATATAAGATAATATAATAGTGGAAGAATTTATTTAAATTGGTAGTGAATACTGCATGCATGCATGCATGCATGCATACTAGTATCTAAAATGAATGTTTGTAAGATTTACTAGACGGTCAACTATTACTGGCAAATTTATAGGATAATTGCTGTTATTATATCTTCCCAATGTCATATTTTAAAATGTAATGACATCGCGCATTCAGTCTTACGGTAGGTAACATTTATGCAGAATAGTACGTTGCTGATTGGATCATATTATATGTACATGCGTTGGTTATTTTATTATCAACCACCAATGGTTGTTTACGAAAACAAAACGATTGTTTGTATTCATTGCTGTAATTTAATATCATTCAATTTTTAACTAATTAAAACGACAAAAAATAAAGAAATAAAGGATCTAAAAAAAAAAAAAAAAACAATTAGTCAAGCTAAAAAAAAAATAATACAAATAATTTAAAAAAAAAAAAATGTTCCATTAAAAATTCAAACAAATTTAACATGTTTTTGTTATTTTAAAATATTAAATTTAATGATTCATCTCTCTTATTCTAAAAAATTCTAGGAAAAGCTAAAATAATTTGCATATACTGGGAAAGAAAACAGGGATCAGATCAGTACTGGTCAAGTAACTTATACATCCAACAAATTTATTACGGATTAATATAGGTATCATTAAGGTCGTAATAAAAATTTCATTTTTTTTTTGTTTTGTTGTTTTAAGTATAAATGACTAATTGATAAAAAAATTATTTTTTGGCATATTTTATTTACAGACTATTTTGACAAAATCCCATTTCATTTTATTAATTTTGATTATTGTTTTTTCACTTCTTTTTTCTTTTCTGATCCTCTTTCTTAAAATAAATTATTCAGCAATTTAATGTAAAAAATCGGATTTTAAACGTTGTACAACAATTTTGCAGACCTTTTATCAATGCAATCATAATTGATATTTTTGGAATTATAATTGTTTAGAAGCTAACTGTCCCATGCATTTTTAATATTTGATAGCATATTAAAATTTAACTCTAAAAATTTTTCAAATTTTTTCCCTTTTTTTGAATGTAGTTTGTTTTTTTTAAGATAGTTTCGTTATTTTTTTCTTTTTTTTTTGTGCTTAAAGATAAGTGATGCATTCATGAGTCATACACTATGACCAATAGTTCCTGTCAATTTAAATAGTTTACTTATTTTCATAAGTCAGTGTCATCCTAGGCTGTCGTGGATAGCAATGGTCAATACAAATTATCATCGTTCTTCTAGTCGATATCCTCAGCAATCATCAATTTCAACCACTGATCCATCATCAATAACAACAACAACAACAATAATATTGTCTAAATTTACCGGAAATACCTTTATGCAACAATCATCTTCATTTTCTACAGGTCATTCATTCATTTCATTCATCTTTCTCTGGTTTTTTTTAAGTTGAAAATTTGCAACAAAAGAAAAAAAAAGAAAATATGATTAAAAATTATCATACTGATTATTCATTTAATGGATTTATATAAAATCTGATATTTTATCGTGTTCAAATATCATTAAACAATCTGATTTAAACTTGTTTTGACTTTATCCTGATATATCCATATTAAATTATATTTCATTGTTATCAAATAAATTAAAATCAACGATAACTATTTAATACTGAAGAAAAAAAAGCAAAATTAATGATTCATTACAAGATAAATAGTAGTCCATTTTAAAATACAATAGAAATATTTAATAATCCCACCAAATTTTAACATTGAAATCAAATTCTTTGTTGAGATTTTATGCTATTATTGAGGTCATTCAAAAAAAAAAAAATAAATAAATAAAAATAAAGGTGTTTACAAATAACTTATATGGATATGATGTAAGTGGAGGTAAAAAATAATTAGAAATAAAAAATAGGATGAGAGAAGAATGATGAAAAAGAATGAAAAAAAGAGAAAGAAAATTATAATTATATTAGTTTTAAAATGAATGTATTTTGACGAATCATGTTTTGTTTACTTTTCATCATTTATTTTAACAAATAATAGAGTAACTTTTGCTGAATATACAATAGTTATTAATCATTAAAAGTTTGATGAAAAAGAGAGAAAAAAGAAATGATAAATTGAAAAATAACCAAAGTCAAATAGATTTTGAATGGATTAAAAGATTGAAATTGACAAAATAGGATGAATGCTTTTTGTAGGAAAAATTTTCAGGAAATTTTTACACAAATTTTCATTATTATCATTATTGTTATCATTATAAGTACTATTGTAATCACTAACATAATCAATATCATAATAATTATTATCAATTGATTAATTCCGCTTTTTTTCCTCCCTCTCAAATATTTGTAATGATTACTAATTATAGTAGGTCTGATTCATCATCAGGATTACATTAAACGTTTTTTTTTTTATTATTAATCTAGTAATAATGATTTGCAATGTTTTTTTTTTTTTTTCATTTTGTATTTTCAAAGGAAAAAAAAAAGTTTCTAAAATTAGTAGGCTAAGGTTTATAATCTGATCTATAATAATAATAATAAATAAATAAAAGAATGTACGCATACTGCTATGACCATATATTTTTATTTCTGATTAGAGAACTTATCACTTTAACAAAACTTATAACTAAAAATTTTAATATTAAAAAAAAAAAAAAAAAAAAAAAACGAATTTTAGCAAAAATTTTCGTTTTTTTTTACATGAATGAAAAGGAGAAAAATTTCACAGTTCTATATTTGACTTCCTTGAGTCATCTGACAAACAAGTGATTATGTTTATAAACAACTTTCGCAATGTTGGCTTTTATTTTTTTTTTCTTTCACCATTTGACAAATCTTATATCCAGATTACTTCACACTTTATCCCTACTTAAATTTGTCATCCTGTCTTGCTATGCTTCATCATTCCACAACAATCACACGAAAAAAAAAAGGAGTGAAATTCATATTACAAAATTCATAGCAGAAAAAAGCTTAAAATAAATTAAAAAAAAAACAAAAACTTACAAATTATCTTTTATTTCCAATAAAAAATTCTTTATGGTTTATGTTGTACAATAAAAATTTTAATTTCTTAATTTTTTTCTAAAAAAAAATTTTCATAAATATTGTATTATGCCTTGTATCATTATTATTATTACTAATTATTACTTACCACTAAATTTTACTGTTATTATTATTCCAAATATATTCAAATCAGTCATACGAACAATTTAATAAGTCTCAAATTTTAGTTGAATTTAAGATGATTGATTAAGTAATTCGATACCTATTGGTTTAGGTTACATATTGTTGATACATGGATGCCCATGAATTTATGACTTCCTGTATCGGAACAACTGATACATGTCCCAACAATATTTATGCATTCCTTACTCTTGTCTTTTATCGTTGTTCTGTTTGTTCGTCCTTGTCTGTCTTTTGTCACATTTATGCAAAACATCGTAATTTCAACAATACACGCCATTTGCAAAGAGCATTTCGGTAGATAAAGGTAGTCAAAGTAACTTACTAGTAGTAATATATCACTGTTCTTCTTTATATCAAAACAAATAAATAATCTAGTGAATAAGTGAGCAAGTAAGTAAAAATAGCAACAAAAATAATTGTAAATTATAACAAACAATAATGAATAATACTAATAACTTAATAATAGCAATAGGTGTAATAGCAGTGGTAGTGTTAATCGTTATCGTAGATATTATTATTATTATTAGTAGTAGTATCTGTAGTACCCCCTTTTAACATCTTTTTATGCAAAATAATATATTGCGCGCACATTCTCAATTATTACTACAATGAAACATTGCGCACGCTTCATGCAAAACTATTTTTCGATAGATGGATAATACCAGCTCAATATAAAATATCAATTTATTCTCATTTAATTGTTTCACTACTTGATATCTTTTATTTATTCAAACTTTACCATAATTATTCTTGGTTGTTTCACCAATAGCTTTTGAAATTTGCGCAAATAAATTTGCTTATTTTCTATCAATATTAGTAATAATGAATATAATAATAAAAATAAATTCGCTAACTATTATCATTATTATCACAAAAAATTTTCTTTCCATATAATGATACCATTTATCTTTTAA